GAGTCATGTGAACCAGTCAACACTCAGAGCTGAAGATACTTTACCTTCCTGGGCTTCTTTGGTTCATAGTCCATCATGGCTCCCCTGCTCTGATCCTGGATTGGATCAACTGGTTCTTGGTGTCTCCACAGCTCAGGTTCAGTTCGTGTTTAGCTGTTGTGACGGTTGTCGTTCCACATTTTCTCCGTGTGAGCTTCTTTTGCCTCCGTCTCGGGCGGTGCAACCTCACTCTTTCTCTTTTTACACTGATTGTTCTTTTAGGACCTCTCTTGGGGACTCCAACTGGAGAACAGGAAGCACAGGAAGCCTACTTCCTGTCCAAAAGGAAACTCCACCAGGGACTGATAACGTCCACTCCATCTACTCTGAGTGCACGCACAAATACGCAAAGGGTCACCTGCAAAAATGAAGGAAACTTCACTTTGATCTGACATTCTATCTTTGAAAGAAGGGTTCCCATTTATTTGATAAATTTTGCTTTAAAATGAGCAGATGAAATTACTTAATAGACTGATCAGTGACGAATGCAAATGTTCTTTTGAAGTAAATAATGAAAAATTGTAATAAAAACAGAGGATTAATTTAAAAAAAGCATGTGTTCAATACAGATGGGTAGTTGGGGGTGAGGGGAGGTTACAAGTGGTAGTATCGGGTGTTGATTATTAAATGACATGCATCACTATCTGTGTGCTTAGCTGATTAATACATTAATTGAAGCATCTGCATACTCTGGATTATTATACTCAGATTTTGCAGGAAGCCGGTTTGGCCTCTAGGGGGCAGCAAAATGAGGTAAACTGGAGAATGGGAGGACCTTTTTCTGCACTGTGGGAAGAATGGGAGAAAGCCAGCATGCGACCTCCCTAAAGCTCAAATATTTCAAGGATGTCAAACATGTCACGTGACCTCGTGCAGACAGGTGTGAGATTGTGCATGTACGTGCCACATACCTGGACTCAAACCAGCCCAAACCAGAACAACTCATGAGAACGTCCGTCTGAGGCTCACATCCTAATGATCATCCAGTTCCCTTGGTAACAGCAGGTGAGGATATATGTGTGTGTGTGTGTGTGTGTGTATATATATATATATATATATTGTGAAAAAGTCATAACATAAGGCTTCAGAAGCTGCTGATCAACTCTCTGATTATCTGAACATCCCTAAATTTGAAATGCTGAAGACTAGAATGGCAACTATTTATAGAAAGCCTTCAAATCAAACTATTGGGAATCAGAGATAAGGAGTTTTCCCAGAGTGGACGTCCCAGTATGGACACCCCTAGGTAAAAAATCCAGGAGCTTATTCTCTGACACAACAGGTTCCAGCCAGACACAACAGGGTCCAGCCAGCAGGTTAAAGGTCGTGACAATATTATTAGGAAAAATCTGAATGAATGTCCCTTGTTTGGAAGCTTCTAGCAGCAGTCAGCACGGTGGGGGAGGAAATATGGTATGGGCTGGGTCTGCAGCCACACGACCTCCTCTGGATACCAACATGCTCAGAGTCAAATGCCACAGCTAAACCAGATTTGTGAGAAAAAATAAAATAAAACTCCATTGTGCATTTTCATTTTTGAAAAGATTTTGAAAACAGTCATTTTTCATAGTGTCACACCATCAAAGAAGACACAGACACATCCATGCAGTTTATTTCCATGGCTGTTAAACCATGTTTACTACAGTATTTTTTCCCATCTACAGTAATCAGCACAGCTTGTTGAGTTGTTTTTTTTGTCGTTTTTTTTTGTACATTGTCATATATATTTTCACCACTGGTATGTTTTTCTGTTCTTTCACTCAGAGGATGTTTAAGCAGCATTATAAAAAAAGGTAGCACACATACTTTACATACACTACATACTTACATACCAAAGCACACACACTCAAACACGCACATCCTAGAATAGCATCACTCTTATATATACAGATATATAGAATGAGTTTTAAAAAAAACAACAACATTTTTACATTTTTGATACAAGAGTCATACCAAAGACATGGCCACTGAGTGAGTGAGTTCTACATAAATAGATATAAAATAAATATAAAAATAAAACAACATAAACACTCGCTTTGATAAATAATATATGGATTTTGAACAGCTCCCTTTAGCAGGTTTTGTTTGAGCTGATCTGTAATCAGTGCACCACTGTTGACTTCGTTTTATCTCGAGAACAAAGAATTGGTTCTTTACCCAGTCAGAGTAAGCAAAATCTTCCTTGGCCCACGACGGGGTGTTTTTTTTTATGCATCGTCTGTACATTACCTATCATGGTCAACATGTCATTATCACGTGAAACGGAGGGTCTTTGTTATCAGCACCATTAACATTTCCAACCACCACTGGACCGACATTTACCAGTTCAGCCTGGACACCACACCGTCCACAGGATACTGTAAAACCGGACTGTCGTCAGGTTTTACGTCATACATTGTCTGTGCCACCGATGAATGATATGTAACAAAGATACAGCGGTCCCCCGGCGGGGGAAAACACACAAAACAGTGTTGGGATCAGAGCACCATCATGGTTGCTTTTAACAAATGGAAACTAAGAGGCAGGATGGACGCTCCACAGGTTTAAGCGCTGGTTGGTTTTTTTTTTTTTCTTCTTTTTTTCTTCAGAATACTGATTAGCACATCCACAAGATGCAAATGGACACATCACAACACGGCAGTGTTTGCAGTGATGTATGGATAGCAGCACACGTAACATATGAGCCCAGCGGTGACCACAGATGGTTTGGACATGTCTAGATTATGTCTGAAGCTCTCATGATATTAGCAGGAAATTGGTCAAATGAGAATTAGACACAGCATGTGCAGAGACATGGAGAGTAAATAAATATAAATAAAAATGGCTTGGTTAAACAGAAAGAATCCAGGTTGATCGTAGTGATTCACACTATCAACAAGTCTAAATGACCACAGGTGCCTGAAATGGACCTTTTGTGAAGCGTTCATCTTCTCACAATTTGCAGAAGCATCATCAGCTCCATTGTAGCATCACTCTCGATCCCTTTCCAGATTTTTATTCTTATTGGCTCCACGCAGCAGCAGAGGAAAACTGCTCCAAAAGTGTGTAAAAAAGCTTTCTCCAAAGCTCGGCAAAACTCCTCAATCTTTAGGACACACAGTTCATACAATTCCTGTTGTGATTCGAAGTGTATGACTTTATATTTAGGTTTTACTTGCCAGAGTAGCGAGATTTTGAATTTATTTTGTGTAGCTCTTGTGTGATGATGTCACGATTTGAAATCTTAAACATTGATTCTCCCTTTTTTCCAAACATCACATAGGTCTAATTGCAAACTAGATTGTATTAAATTGGACTAAACTGAATTTATTTTTGTTGTATTTTAAGATAAACAGATTTTACTACTTAAGTCGCAGCCCATGCTAGATGTTTTTAGAAGCTACTCAGTGACAGTCACGTTTGTTCAGTTCTGTTCCTTCTATTCAAACTTTAACCAGAAGATGCAGCCTGAAGATACAAATAGTGCAAATCTTTGCCTTAGGGCACTGCGTTCTATATCACTGAATTACTTCTCTAACAACTGTAAAGGGTACTTTCCCTCTTCTTTTTACTACTTCACTAATCATGCAAATCTGCCAAATGTAAATCTAAATGTGTAAGGGAGGACTTTCAGATTTCTACCAGAATCTTTCTCTATCAAGTCCTTACACAACTTGTTCACACTATGCCTACTGAGCTTAGCAGCAGCACAAAAGTTTAAAATAGTTTAGGTACAACCACCCACTGCCTGAAGTAATGCATTTAACGCTAACCAACTGTGATGCTCCAAAGCTGGAGGGGCAGCAGTAGTGGTGAAGATATTACAGACTTCTACTGATCATCTGTAAGAGAAAGAGCCAAGTGGAACCTGCAAAAACATCTGAAGCTAAAAATAATAAACTATCACTTCAGAACCGTTTAAGAATATAATGAAAATGCACAAACCACAGACTGTACGAGAGATGAATATAGCCACTGCGTTATTACCTACTGGTCACCTTGAATTTGGCTTCACTCCATTCTCGCCTTTTTGGAGCCAGAAATGACCGTATTTCCACAAAACAGTGAGGGTGGAAGTGGTACATTTAGCCTTGTTGGATAAACAATAACTTTCCTCGAGGCCTGATATACATTTAATGAGCTAATTCTTTTGACAAGTGCCTTCAACCAGCAGAAAAGAGTGAGACTTTGGCTCAGTATTTAAAGAGGGTAGCTCATGCTCTTTGAAATAGAGCCAGATGTGTTTCTGGACGCCTCCTTACTGACCCTTTGCTGTCGGTATTATTGCTCTATAAGGCACTTCCTCACTGGCTTCCAACTTAGATCTGGTGGCTGTATCCACCTGTAGCATGCAGTCTGTGGGGCCCGCAGTATTTAAGATGATACTTGCGTGTTAAAAAAAAACACCTGCCTGAAATGACGCTTGGGAAACTACAACTTTCAAAAGTCCAAATTTATTTACGCGTCTCTTTTGATACCATCGGCTGCAAATGGCAAGCCGATGGTCCAGTCTTCTGCCTTTCACAGTTTGCTTTGAGAATCTTTTACCTTTCCATCAACAACTTATGGGATGTGGTCACAGTTTAACAGCATCTGTGAAGCTTTCGTTTCCACTCCAAAACCAGACTTTATATCTGAATCGTTGAGAACTTGTCCGTGTTATCCATCATTTCCTATATTGTACGTATTCTTAAAAAAGTGGACAGCTGTGGACAACATTTAAATTATCTTCAAGTAAATGGAGATCCTTGACTAAAATGGCAATTCTCAGCTACCTACGGTTTATTATAGCAGCGTATAGCGCCTCCGACGTCTGCGTTGTCTCCACTGTGTCCTGATTGAGTTCCTTTGAAACATTAGTTTAGCTGTGAATGCTGTCCTACACACAGGACAAGATCTGGTCCACGGACAAGATCTGGGCCCGCATTGAGTTGTAGGCTTAGACTGGATGGATTTTCATGAACTAGTGAGATTGGAGCTGAGAGTACAACGCTATGTGTTTTTTGTTTGTTTTTTCTCTATGGATGCGATTGACATAATGTGAACATGTTTTTGAGAACATTGGATCTTTTGGAAGCATGGTTGGGTACAAAAAAGAGAAGTGATCGTTTCTAAATGACTTCTTATTTCTATGTTTTCTTCATCTGATTTTTTTTTGTCTAAATATGATTGGTACCAGGTTCACAAAGTGGTGAATTGGAGGTAAGAAAAGAAGACTTCTTGGTTAAAACTTTTCTTCCTGCGACTGCCTAGCATGTTTTCTACCATCCCAACAGATCTACAGGCATTTTTAACTGGCCAAACTCTTTAACCTTTATGTTGGGCAATGGCCTCACATTTTCCGACACCATTGAATACTGCTACAAACTAAAATGATTGCGTGTTCCATGCACACTCTAGCAATCAGCAACTTCAACGATCTGTAAGTCTCCATTCTGGAGCTGGAGTCTGAGGCTAAAATTCATGCAGTAAACTGTTTCTCAATTATAAACAGCTTCATCTCTCCCAAGGTAACTTACTTCTCCTGTAGACCATCTAAAACTTAACAGATTTCACCCATTCTTGTTTCCTTGAATAAGCATTCATCATCTCATGAAATAACAGGAGATGGTGCCTCATCAGTTTCTTGATCACCGTCATGGCTCCTGCTGCTGTTCAGTCACTGACTGTTTAGGTCACAGACTGCAATTCCTGTTTTACAATCATGTTTCCACAACCTTTTTTCCCAAAAAGAGTTGCTGTTTTCATGCATCTCTTGGCATTGGTGGTCCCTGGGTGAGGACTGATCCCAGTCTGAGCCTCGGTAGGAGACTGCCCTTTGACATTAAAGAGCTCCCGCTCTCTTAAACAGTCGTTTCGTATTCGAACACCTCTTTGCTGCCCATCATGCTACTTCTGTACTGTATCCTGGGACTGACGGCGGACGTGGTTTCCAAGAGCAGTATGGTTTTGCGGAGGCGTCGATCGATAAAGTGTGCATCCCAAGCTGGGTATCGCTTTCTAGGGAGGTCAATCCTGATCACGGGGCCCTCCTGTGCACGGGAGGAGGAGGAGGTCCTGTGAAGGAGAGCTGGAGACGAGGAAGGAGAGGGGCGTACCTGGAAGACAGGTAGGCAGCTGTCTCTGTCTCTCTCCTTGTCTCGCTCCCCTGGAACCGGCTCTCCAGTGTCCTTAGTCCTAGGGAGAGTTCTCGGAGGACTGGTGATGACCATATCCGTTTGAGATCCTTGGGATGGCGTAATGCAAGCATCAATGACTCCCACCACCCCTCCCGCACCCACCACGCTCTCATCGACACACCCGGCCCACTGGGAGCCCAGGACAGGTCCGTCAGGGTGCAGCCAGCAGTAGTACACCAACATAAAGAAGGTTCCCAGGGCAAAGCTGCAGGCCACCAGGCACACCACCACCAGGGCGGAGGAGTCGGCCGTCTGTGGGCCACGGTAGGTGTACCAGGCGGCCGTCAGAGCCACGTTCTCGGCCAGCGTGACCGAGTAGTAGAGCGTCATCCGGAAGCGGCTGGGACCCTCCTTCACGTTGAACCAGCAGAAGATGTAGATGATGCCAACGACCATGTTGTAGATGATCTCCTCCCACTTTGACATGCAGAAGTCCGTCTCACCCTGGATGATCCAGAAGGTCATGATGCACCTGAAAGACAATAAACAACTAATCTAGTGACACGGAACATAATCATAACATAATCTTTATTTTTTTACCACCTTTCTAAATTCTCCAAAATGATTTAGCCATGAGATATTCTGTTTCGGAGCCAAATGGAGGGTTTGCTTGATTTTGCATTTAGCTTTAAAACATGATCAGAAACTTGCATAAAAACATGAGTCAAGGTCCGATGACTAATTTAAAGTCATACAAAAGTAATTTTTGTTGGAAAATTTACTTTTCATTTTCAATACCTGCTTCCATGTTCTGCCGCAGGGAGACTGAATAATTTTTTAGCTGTTATTGGGCAAAAGACGGGGTACCCATACAGATTTGGCAGATCATCACAAGGCTAAGAAGCGACTAATGACACAGAGAACCATACATGCTGACACTCATTGTGATGGTCAACTGGGACTGGCAAAACAACGAGCCAAAACTCTTTAACATCACATTCAGGTGACAATCCTCTTAGAGGTAATGTTGAAATTCCCCTACGCTTTCCTATGAAGTGTATAAGAGAAGAATTCAAGGCTCAGTTCCCAGTGTTTTTTCCGACACTTAGAAATTTTGGTATTGAAATGAAAATTGTAATGAGTATATCTAGAACTTTAACCCCTTAAGGCCTACATAATTTCCTCCCTACTTTTTAAACCCAAAAATAATGCTAGCTGCTCCTGGAGGGATTTAATAAATAAGTTAATAAGTGGGAATGCGTGACTTTTTCTGAATGAGGACAAAGGACACTGGAAAATTGACAGCCTCCATAAAGTACTTTTAAGTATTCTCATAAAGAGACTACATAGGCTGATACTGAGAAAATACAACTCATGGCAATAAAAAAAAAGCCATGCATGTCCCATCCTTTAGAATGCAAACACTTTTCTTTCGGTCGAATGCTGCCCACCAGTGGCTCACGATGAAGATGCCAAAGTAGAGCTGGAAGACAGAGGCGAAGAGGGCAAAAGCCACCGTCCTGGCTCCGATGGTGAAGAAGTGCCACAGCATCTGGGCGATCACGGCTTTGTAGGACATGGGAAGTTTGTCGTCCCGCGAGTCCCGGAGAACCTTCTGGTAGGAGGCAATCATCCAGGCCAGAGAAACCAGGGAGGCTGAAGCTGAGAGGCCTGGGCAGGCAGAACACAGGAGGGCAGGTTGAGGATGAGGTACAGATGGAATTGTGGTTTACTGAAGAAGGGCTGCAGACACACTGACATCAACATCTGACAAATTCATCAAGGTTTGGTTGATTGGAACAACTGCCACCAGGGCAGAAACAACAAAAACCATCAGAAACGGTGCAGTCCCATCATTAGAATCGATCCTCTAAATTGACCTTAAATACTTTGAACATGAAACTCAGAACACCTGAGCCTCTACTTACTAACCTCAACAACACATGATAAAGCTCAGACTTTAAAAAAAGTTTTCATGGTACATTAAACTGGTTTTACTTCAAATTCCCACACCAATGCAGATACAGGGAGAACTTACAAACTCCACACAGAAGGGGCCTGGTTCCCCCAGGGGACTTGAACCCAGAACCCTCTTGCTGTGAGGCAATGGTGTTAACCACCACACCACCATGCCACCCTCATTTAAAGGCCTCTTTTTTATTTTTTTAGTACAGTTTTGTGATGGTCCAGTGAAAGCTTTTGTTTGGTTGTACTTGTTTCTCTAAACTAATGCCTGATTATTATTTGAACCGCGTCTTGGGGGGTTGTCTTGTTGAAATATCCATTCCCCCAGTAACCGCAACGTAGTGACAGTCTTGAACATTATTCTGAATTTGCTGATATTAAATGGAATCCCTGTAACCCTCAACTTCAACAAGATCCCCAGTACCAGCCCGTGGGTTAGGGTTAGGGTTATAGTTGGTTAGCCTATCCCAGAGAGCACCTTTCAACTCAGCTTTCATGTCTTTCATTAATCTTTGGAAGTCCTGTTTGTTTTCATTTTGGAATTTGCATAGTTCAGTCTTGATAGCTTGTAGCACCTAGCCAATGCTGACTATCCATTTTCTTCTCTTCTTGTTGCATTACTCATTTAGTCGGACTACTACAGTGAGATGTGTGAGATGAGCTGTTTTTAGCTGGAATTTTTTTTATTGCTACCATTCCACCTCTCCTATAATCACATCAAATATTCCCACATGTGATAGCGTAGTGGACACATGCAAAATGTGTCTGACATCAGGTGTGTGAAACGCCATCAGGGACACAAAGAAAAAATGCTTTCAGCTTGTTTCCCTGGTTTAAATCTCATCGTCTTACTGGAGTTGTAGTTAACCTATCGCACAGAACGTATGACTACAAATGACTGTGACTAAGAGATGTCTTGTCTATGGCGCCATACGTTTTATTGGGCCGAATTGTTTTTGTGCTTTTGCTCAGAGGACAAACAACAACAGATACTCAAACGGTAAACGTTCGGAGGCGGGTTGTCGTCCGTCACCTTGCAGGGGGAGGACGGTGTTTCCGTGGATCATGATGCTGAGCTGCAGGACCAGCTGGGGCGCCGACTTCAGGAAGGCCTCCAGCAGGCGGAGCATGGTGATGTCAGCGCTCTCGAACATCAGCCGCCAGTGGAAGTGGCGGCGGGGCCCGTTGCTGTGCCAGCGACTCTGGGCGCCCAGGTAGAGGGCGTGGATGTATCTGAGGGCGAGAGACAGCTTTTTAACAGAAGGTCCCAAATGTAGGAGACATCCAGACTTAAACCGAATATTAAAATGGAGGCGCAAAACTTGGAAGAAGGTCTACAAGAAGATGAACCATTTTTGTGAGGAGAAATTAATGAAAATGAATATTGGAGACGTTTGAAAAAGCACCATCCTGTACTGCGGCACACCTTAAGGCTTGTTAGGGAGGAGAGGGACAACACATTAACTAAAGCTCATCATCACTTGGAATCCTCAATGTCAGGAACGTTAAAGAGTTTGTAATGAGAAGATTACAAATGAGTAAAAGCTTTAAAAGCTTACTCATGGGATAGTAAGGGAACTATTTCCACCTTCACACCTGCATCCCAAGGCTGAATTTTAAGTACGGTGAAATAACCAGAAAGTTCAGGCATATACATAAAAATACACACTTATTCACGCACACACGCTCACAAAAATTCATCCTGTTATAGGCATGTATGTATATAAACAGTAATCAAGTTTAGATCAAACACTCGACTCATTGATTTTTGTTTGATTTTTATGTATCTTCCCAACCCTAACCCAAAATTTGCACAAAAAAACTGAAAAAAGAACAAAATGAATGACTGGCTTCTTAAAATATCAAAAGACATGATTCTTGGTAGATATCTCATTTATGTTATGTACTGTTTCCTTGCACTCCATCATTTTAAAGAGTGACATTGTGAACTGGACATGTTCATCTCAGTAGGACAATGACAAATTCAAATACATTCAGTTCCTCACAAGCACTGCCAAGCCGGTTTAGCATAAAAGGTTTGATTGACACTGATGGGAAGTCAAAGATGGCTTCTTAGGGTGGACTTAAAGCCCAGTCCACAGAGCGCTCTGGTTCTGATGAGCCCGTCCAGAGAGTGGGAGCGTAGAGGCTCCACAAACGGACACAAACGGGGGAGCGAGTGCTTGGAAAGCCACACAGAGCAGGAATATTGTCTCCTCCTGTCTGTGTGGAGCTAAGCTGTCAGCACCGACCTACTTAGAGCGTCACCCTGACAAACACAGCGCACGGAGAGGAGGATGTGAGATTATGGACGAGGGTAGGGGGAGAGGAGAAAAGAAGAGCTAGTGGGAAATGCAGAGCGAGAGAAAAACAGATGAGAGCGGAAAAGAGAGATGAACGCGAGGAAAGAAAGAGAAGAAGACTGGGAACTGTACACAAGTCAAAAACGTGAACTAAGCAATTTAATGAGCATTTCTGAAAATCTTTTGTCTACATGTGTGCGTGAAAGGAAAAGAAGAAGAAAACCGCTGACCGCTGCTGTTAAGCTGCTGCTCAGATATGATCACTGAGCAGCAAAGTGTTTAATTGGTTGCTGCGCGCATGTGTGTGTCTGCGAGTGTGTGTGACACAGGTGATCTTATCATCTCGCTCAAGGGCTCGAGCTGGATCTGTCGTCTCTAAGAGCTGCCCTGCCTCTCTCCCACAGGCAGTTGTCATTCAAAAGAGGCAGAATTCTGCTGTTTAACCACCTCAAAGAGAAAACCGAAAGCAAAAATCTAAATGGATAAACGGGATCGTAAAATGCAGCCACTGTGGCAAGAAAGACAAATTAATACAACGTTTATAGCAGAGGTGGGGACTCGAGTCACATGACTTGGACTCGAGTCAGACTCGAGTCGTTAAAATCACGACTTGAGACTTGAGTTGAAAAAATACTCAAAGACTCGGACTTGACTTTGACTTTCATGCCATTGACTTCGGACTTGACTCGACTTGAAGCTGTTTACTTGAAAAGACTTGATATTTTTTACTCAAAGTCTTAAAATTTAAAACACATTATTTATAAAGTGGCGTCATTAATTAATTTCACTCATTCCGTATCAATATGCACAGACCGTCACTATGTTTTTCCTCTCTCCTTATGTGTGGATGTGTACGTAGCTGCAGCACAACCAATCAAATCAACAGGATTTGGACGTTTAAAAAAACGCGGCGAAGCTACAGAGCTCAGGGAACGAAATACGAAATAACCGCTCGAATATGTTTCCGCGAGTAATTTCTTTTGGCTACGTACGTTATGAAATTTCGACTAAAAAACTAACTGCGACTTGTAAAACATGCAAGAAGAGAACTTTGTCCGGCATTTGAAGCTTCACAAAGATCGGTAGGTGGCACTTTTCTTTTGCAGTAAGATAGTTGACTTTAGCTAACTTACAGAGGTGTGGACTCGAGTCACATGACTTGGACTCGAGTCAGACTCGAGTCGTTAAAATCACGACTTGAGACTTGACTCGGACTTGAGGACAGAGACTTGAGACTTACTTGAGACTTGCAACACAGTGACTTGGTCACACCTCTGGTTTATAGACTGTGAAAAATTCAAAGTTGGAGACTGGAAGGAAAAATGTTGGAGTAAGGATGCCAAGAGAGTAAAAGTGGTCACATGTCTTGGACTCTCAGGTGAAGAGGGGGGTGGGGGAACCTGCTTCTGGACACCGGCTGAAGAAGGAGTTCTATCGGGCCTTTTTGGCCTGTGGGACTCCAGAGGCAATGATGGGTTGACCTCAACTCGTGACTTTGTGGGTCGGTGGGTGGAGTACTTTGAAGACCTTCTCAATCCCAATGGGAGGAGCAGAGCCTGGGGATTTGGGATTGGGATCTCCAGTCTCTGGTCAGGAAGCTCCGCGGTGGCACCCTGGAGCTTCGGCCGGAGTTCCTCAGGGCTCTGGACGTTGTAGGGCTGCGTTGGCTAACATCGTGTGGACATAAGGCCAGTTTCGCTGGATTGGAAAACTGGGGTGGTGGTCCCCCTGTTCAAAAAGGGGGACCACTGTTGGAGTGTTTGTTCCAACTACAGGGGGATCACACTCTTAAGCCTCCCTGGGAAGGTCTATTCAGCGGTTCTAGAGAGGAGGGTCCGTCGGATAGTTGAACCTGGGATTCAGGGGGGCAGTGTGGTGTTCGCTGGACCAGCTCTATACCCTCAGCGGGGTCCTGGAGGGTGCATGTGAGTCCACGTGTGTTTTGTGGACTTGGAGGAGGCGTTAAACCGTGTCCCTCGGGGGGTCTGGGAGTATGCGGTACCCCTTTGTTACGGGCTGTTGGGTCCCTGTACGACCGGAGTCAGGGCTTGGTTCACAACGCTTGTATTTTTCTGTAAAACGTGAACTCCATATTTATCAGGCCAAACCACACAGTGCAAAACCATATCACTGGTCAGTCTATCTGCCAAACTTCTAGATTTTATTAGGGGTCTTTATTTTCACGTTGTATTTATATACTTATTTTTTTGCTTATTTTTGCTTAATTTAGGGTTTTTTATTTTTTACTTTGTCTGTATATTCTTATTTTTTTTGGCTTTTCAGATTTAGTGTGTACCTGTACTTAATCTGTATTTTTTGTATTTTTTTGCATTTTGCTCTCTGTGTGGCTATTTTTTGCCCTGTAAGCTGCTGGTAACTTTAATTTCCTGAGGGAGTCTTCCCAAGGGATCAATAAAGGACAAGTCTAAGTCTAAGTCTAGTAAGTCGGACTTGTGTCCGCTGAGAGTTGGATTCGGCCAACGTTGTCCTTCCCAAAGTGGAGAGAAGAAAAGCAAAAGTGTGTGACAAAAGAGTAAAAAAAAAAAAAAAAAAGATGTAATTCAAGAAAAGATTGGGAAAGTAGAAAGATTTGTGAATATAACAGGAGGAGGATAAATAAGAGGGGAAAGACAAAACTGAAAATAGAAAATGAATTAAACAAAACCAAAAGCCTGAGTACCTTTAGATTTGAACCATATTTGTTAATGGTGACCACCAGAGGTTCTCACGGTTGGGGTTGCTTTTATGTTTGGTTTCACACTGGGTTATAAAGGACAAATACATCTCTATACACATTTGTACAGTTTGCTGTAACCACTAAAACAATAACCACTTAGTGTACAAACACGTGAGGTTATTCAGTTACAAAAAAAGGAGATATCACCAAAGCTGAACGTTAACAGCTCAATGTAGCGAGTAATGTATTCAAGGAACACAGTACTTGACCAATACTCTGGCTTGAAAGAAATACCCTTTAGGATAAATGAGTCGGCTATGTTCAGGGCTGCTATGCCTTGTGTATTCTAGCAGAAATATTAGGGAGAACACATGCAGAGTGCAACCTAACCAATGAAACTCAAATGCATGGGTGCATGTGGTTCTCAAACACTAAACTAAAAAACAGGAATGGTCACACTTACACAGTAATAAAAAGATATAAAAAAATCTATTACAAGAAAGATAAGTCAAGGTTAAAAACAATTTCTGAGAGGACTGAGGACATGAGAGGCAGTAAATTCTGTTAAATTGTCACTGAGAATAATCTGAGAAGAGGCTGGAAATCTGAACAGCGGCACAAAATACAAGTAACTCTCCAAAGAAGGAAGATAATAAAAAAAAAGAAACAAAAAAAAGAAATCCTAGAAGTCAAGACCCACAATTATGAACCAAACATGCAGCATAGATAACACAGAGTGCTGGAGAGTAGCTGGTGTTTCTGCACATCCATTGTTGTTTATGGAACGATACGAATGGAAAAGAGAGGGAGGAAAGATAGTTATTATCTAAAGAGAGAAAATGCTGGGAGGCATCGATGCACAGTCATTTTTTTTCTCTTGCTTTTTTTGCTTCTTTGCTCTTTTTCCATATACACTCATTCCTTAGCTTTCATTCTTCCTGTTTCTCTGATTTGAATTCAAAGCAAGTGGCAATCTGGGTTATAAGTTACGGGTGGGTTTTAACAGATATCAATGATCCTCCTACAAATTCATACAGGGTTTCTCTATCTTTGAATTAAACTCTTTTTTTTTTATAGCTGTGAGACACATGGAACATCTGGAGATGAAGGTACCAGTCCCGGGTTGATGGAGGACCTCATGTGATCATTTTTACTATCATCCTCTCACTTATAGCAGCCACCGTGGAACCACATTAAAAACGTTAAGCTAGCGGTCCTCAAAAGCCAAAGTAGATCTATATGAACATCCATCCATCCATCCATCCGTCCATCCGTCCATCCATCCATCCGTCCATCCATCCATCCATCCATCCATCCATCCATCCATCCATCCATCCAT